CATTTGCAATTTTGAGAAATGGAAGAAGCAGCTACGGAAAGGTCTTCCCGGTGTCCACCGGCCAAAAGGTTTCAATGAGGAAGTTTATTTGCTCGAGCTTTCAAAGCCTAAAAGTTGTCTAATTCAGGCGTTGAAGAAAAACTCATTCGAGAAAGGACCGGACGTAGGCCAGATGCCTTGTTAACATACTTGGACCTTGTACATATAGTAGCAATGAAGAATGAAGATCTGGAGCCTTACAGAGCCGGAATCCGGCCTGACTGCGACCTGAACACCCTTCATAGACCCAGACACCGGTATGACAAGAGCAGGATAAAAATATTGTCAGGTTTCCGATTTCTGAGCCGCAAAAATGTTACACTCTTGTCAGGCCATGACCGGCCGGAAAAGGAGGAGCTGGATAAGAGCCAAACAACGATGAATACCTTTTCTAATACCTGATGCCAATGTATGCGCCATGTTGACTGCACGCTTTTTTCTAGGGCTCTGTTCTATCCTATGTTTTCTCGATTTTCCTGCGTTGTGGCTGGGGAGGTTCGATTACCATCCGAGCCAGAACAAAGATCACCAGATTCTTGACGACCATATGGGGGTTTTACGACACGATAGCTCAATTCCTACGCGATTTTTTGCTGTGACCCTTAAAGTAGTTTTCAAGCGTAACGAGGGTGAAACTAATTCGAACTGGAACCTTCTTACTAGCAGAACTACAAGACATGGTACCGCCGTCTTGGCTCTTCCTAGCCGAGTTTTCTGGATGGACTTGACTCTCCATATGGATATAGAGGTTAACCCTGGCCCGGAGGAAGATGCAGTTGCGACAAGAAGAGAAAGTTCACTGGAACCGTATTTAAATTATTGCACCACCACAACAATAGCACAGCCTATTCAAGGAATTAATTACTCAATCTCAGATCGAAATATTCCATCTCTCAAGACCTCTCACGTCTGCTTAAGAACCAGGACATCTTAAAAAGCAGGGAGACCGTGCTGGAGTTTCATTCTGAAACAAGATTTTCAATATCCCCACATGTTATAGGCCTAAGAAGGATTCCAGATTCAACCAAGTAGGTTCAAATTTACATAATCTCAAATCATTGGAGCGTCTAAATGTAAACAAAGCCAGATCGCCCGTTCATCCACCAGAGATTATTGACTCAGACCGAATTCAAGATTCTCACAGATAAGTTCTTCATCTAAATATTCGTTCGCTCCGAAATTCTGAACACTTTATCCAACTTAAAGAACTGAATAAAAGAGGTAAATTCGATGTTATTACCATCTCTGAGTCCTGGCTGAACACGAGCGTTTCATCGCTGGAGGTGAACTTGGAAGGATAGAAGCTCTCAAGACTTAATCGGCTCCACATGGGAGGGGGAGGCGTTTGTGTCTATACTCGCAATAATTTGAAAGCTAAGGTTTAAAAGACCTTTCATCGATTTCCGAGAGAAATTTCCACCAACTCTGGATAAGTCTTCAGTGGAAGAAAACAAAGTCAATTGTAGTGTGTACAACCTACCGAGCAGATGACTGCCCCCTTAGTGCTTTCGAGGATACCCTGAAACCTACTTACATGCAAGCACTGACGCTTAACAAACCCATCGTGATGCTTGGGGATTTAAACTGTGATGTAAGGAAAGCCTGCGCGGAAAGCAGAGCGTTAAACAATTTCTCGTCTGAAATGAATCTTCAACAGCTCATTAAGCATCCAACAAGGATTACGGCTACAACGAAGTCCCTGCTCGATGTTATTTTGGTGTTCCACCCTTAGTCGGTACGTGGTAGCGGCGTGATCAACTACTCCATCAGTAATCACCTGCCAGTTTTTGTAGAGCTTAAGGTGAAAGCACCTAAGCCTTCGCCCCACTACATAACAGCACGTAGTTATAAGAACTATGAGCCGGGCGCATTTACTGCTGATCTTGCTAACCAATCAGACCAGCTCTTGTCCATCTTTACCTGCGGTAATGTGGATACCAAACTTAACACTTTCAATGATGTTGTTGGAAGCACGTCGGACTTGCATGCTCCCGTCAGAACAACCAGGATTCGCCATCGCCCTTGTCCATTTGTATCAAGAGGCATTAAACAACTCATGAATACAAGAGACCTACTTCACCGCAATTTTTTTCAGTCTCGCGGCCCCTCGGATTGAAGTATAAAGAATCCAGGGATACCATCAAAGAAATACTGACAGAAAAAGAGCGGAATTATACTTTTCTTGAAGTTCAACAAAACAAGAGCAATCCTAGTTCACTCTGGAAAGTAATCAACCGCGTTATTCCATCGAAAAACAAAGAGCCTCAACGAGTTTATACCAAAGACCTGAAGAAGTCGCCGATGAGTTTAATGTGTTTTTTATGTCATTTGGTAAGACTGCAGCCCTCGTTGCTGGTCATCTTGCAGAAATTAATAACATCACTTGGTCAGGAGATCTTTTTGACTTTAAGCGTGTGTCGTGTGAAGGGGTGCGACGCATTATTTCATCTTTGCCGCTAAACAAGTCTCCAGGCCCTGACAAAATACATACCCGAGTTTATAGGGATTTTCTTCCTGTCATCTTGGGTCCCCTTACGGAGATTATAAACTCTTCTCTCGAGTCTGCTATAGCATCCCGATGCGTGGAAATTCGCGGAAGTGATTCCTTTACTTAAGGAAGGGGACCATGAAGTAGCCTCAAATAATCGGCCCCTGTCACTACTTGCTATTGCTTCTAAGATATGTGACAAGGTTGTTCTCGATCAGTTCAGCGCGTATCTTTTTAGCAACGGTAGAGTCTCTTCTCACCAGAGTGGTAATAAGAAACTTCATTCGATCGAGACTTTAAGCCTCTTCATGGCAGACCACCTCCTGGAGGCAACGGACATGAAGAACTTAACCGCTTTGACCCTATCAGACCTTTCGAAGGCTTTCGACAGCTTGAATCATAATAAACTGCTTGTTAAACTCTCGTCCGTCGGAGCTTCTCCGCATGTAGTGAACTGGTTTAAAAGCTATCTAACGGGCCGATCACAGTCAGTTCGGATCAATTCAATCTTGTCAGATCCCCTGCCTATCACCCACGGAGTCCCTCAGGGGGCAATTCTCTCACCATTGCTATTTTGCATTTATCTAAACGATTTGCTTCTTATTGTGCCCACGAAACCTGCTGTCACTCGAATAATATAATATAGTCACACAAGCTTTCCGTGGGTTGTTGAATCAGTATGAGTTTTTATGGATAGGAAATGTAAACACGTTTGTTCTGGATAAAGAATTAATGGAGGCCAATGAAAGGACTATTAAAAGTAAATTTAGGCCGATTTCTAGGGGAGAGCTCGAGTGTTTACAGGAAATAAACGTTGAACCACAAGGGAACAACAAAGGCACGAAATGTGATACACGATCTTTAGAAAAAAACAACCTGGAATGCATACAAGTCACATGCTAATTTAGGAGCACAAAGACAGCAGTGATACCGCGTTAGACTGATAACCCAACTAGTTGGCACTTTTATTCAAGCAGATAAGACAATGATCGCTATCGCCGGTAAGTCTGGCAAAGAAAAAAATAAGTTTTGCAAGTGACTGCTGTGGCCCTCACCACTCAACGCATCGGAAAGGACATCAGAGCAAGTTATTAGTTGTTCACTCGAAGGGCGGTCGATTTAATTTCTGAGGCTTGCTTCACTAGCGATCTCTGAGCTAGCCACGTTGGACCTCAGTATGATCGCAGTCGCTCTGACACCGTCATGATTAGTATGAATTATAACAGTGTTGCCACTTTGGCTATATTTTCTATCATTCCTGCTTTGTTCTGTTTTGTTTTGAACTCGAACTTTATATACTATACGAGTGTTAACTGTGTTTGAATTTTATTACCATTCGTAAGCTTCCAATCAAACTGAGCGCGAAAACTCTCAAAACTCGGACTGTCCATTTCGTTTCCTCTTTGAGGATTTTCGTCTCTGCTCTATAATAACGTCAATTACGGCGCCTGGCATGTTTATAAATCTTTGTTTGGTTGTTCTGTCGCTACTTCCCGGCTCGCTTGTTTCGAAATTTCACTTTGAATTAACGAAAAAAAGCTAGAGAAAAGTCCCGGAAAAGGTTAGCCATAGTCCAATTTGGCAGATGGCGTGGCAAAGCTGTTTCGGCTTCGCTGCTTACTGATTAACATCATTCTGGTTAATAAGAAGTTAACTGTTTATGTCTTTCAGTTTTCATTCTCTTCTTTTTTTTAGATGCTTAGACATTCTGATAATATACATTTTAAATGTGTTACATAGCTTCTAAATTTAATTAATGTTTTCCTAGTGTTCTAGTTCTCTCCAAGAAATGTTAGTTTATTGGAAAAACAAATCACATACATGTGAAATTACCGTCGTGAGTAACCTTTCGGACAGGATTGATCTCATCATGTTTCCGGTCGCAAAAGAGAAACAACGCTTGAGTGTGGCGCTCATAACAAGGCGTTTCTTGTAACATTCGTTTCTAGTATCGTTATATTTTATATTCCCACCCATGCCGCAGCTCTACTTTTCGCATATTTTTTTTACTTTCGTTTTAAATGAAATAAACCATCACTTGTACTGAGGGGTTCTCGCATAAAAACAGATATTAAAGATTAAGTATTTTTCAGATAATTTCGTAATATTTCGAGGTCTAAATGCAATGACGATTTCATAATAATAAACCTTACGGATAGAGAGAAGTTTATCGGTATATTTTGCAAAATATTCCAGGGTTTAGACAAAATCTTATACTTTCCTCGTTTCATCTTGGCGGAAATTTATTCTTGATAAAACTGCGTTAAAGAAAAAAAATAAAAATAATAATATAAATATATATAAATAAGCAAACAAATCATTGTCCTCTCGCCGAAACCGTTTCCTCGGACGTCAAAACAACCCTTCGCCCATATTTCCTTCGAGCAACTTGCAACATTTTTTTGTTCGGCCACGCCGCGATCCCAGAAACCTTTGCGCGCAACACAAAGATCCGATTACTAGCATTTTAAACATTTGACTCAACCCGACGCGTACATAGGGTGGGACTGATTATAGACAGCATCTGTGCGAAAATAATTCCACAACGGACAGTACAAGATGATTTGCTTCAGCGTTTTATTTGCCTTCGGTAAGTCAATTCACCTTTGCAATCAATTTTCAGATTATTATTATTGGCCTTTGGTAGGTTTATTTGGTAGCAAGTCAGTTCGATCGAAGGTCGTTTCGATCGAAACCAAAAGTCAGTTCCATCGAAGACAAGAGTCAGTTCGATCGAAGAGTAATTGACTATAAAAACTACAGTTTTGCAAGCGTATAGATAATAATAAAAGTTCTTGTGTTGTGTAATGATTGCGCAATGTAATATGCGCGACGCGGAAACGCGGTTTTAAATTGATCTCTTTTGTCGCTACTTCCCGGCTCGCTCTTTTTTCTTTTCTTTCTCGGCGTTCCTTATCGGCAATGCTCAATGAGCTATTCGCTATAACGTGCGTACACTGAAACACGGGGTTTAAGAATTTATTACTTTTGCTCGCGCGATCGGAGTAAAATCGCTAAGAGTCTTACTCGACCCGTCGGTGCGAATATAGTGAGTTTCTCCCAGAACGAGAGTGGTTTTGCCCAGAAGAAGAGGAAGTAACTAACTGAAAGGAATTTTTTTCCATCTTGCCAAAAAAATGTTAAACTTTCATTTGTCCATAGACCTTGAAAAGAAAATTAGTTTTTATGTTGGGGTATGTTCAGAACGGTAAACGAACGAACGTTGGGTAATGAGAAAACGTCGACTTCTCTTGAGACCATGATGAAACGAACAAGTTGTCACTTTCACTTAGAACCAGATTTGATAAATAGTAAGTTCATTACAATTAAGGAATAGTTACAGTCTTCGATCGAACTGACTCTTGTCTTCGATCGAATCGACTTTTATCGATCGAAACGACCTTCGATCGAAACAACCTTCGATCGAACTGACTTGCATTCGTTAATTCACCTTTGCCAACAACTTTCAGAGTATCCGTTATCGTGTCGCGTTTTCCCAGGTTGAGCATATGATTCAAACACGGAGAGGCTATCACTACGTGCAAGCCAATAGGCAATGTGATATTTGTTTCATCCGTTTATGTAATGATGTTGACTTCTTTACAGTCTCTTCGATGATTTCATTAGTTCTGATGAATTTGTTTCTAATTTTCTACTCATTTTTTAGTTTTCTTAAGCAGATTAGTATAATGTGCATCGCCCTGAAGCGTGAAACTTGTATGTTTACCAAACTCGCTCGCTGTGTACTTCACTCGAAATATTGGCAAAGTTCATGTTGTTAATCCACCAGAATTTCAACATTTTTTTTTGTTGTTGACAAACTTTCTCAGACCTTTCTTAGAGCAGTCGAGATTTCGCGAATCGGAGTAATTCTTCTCTTTTGTTTTTGGTAAGTGATGTCGAAGGAACGAATCTTAAACTCGCATGTTTGGAGAATCATCACTCTCCGTTTTTACTTCAATTTATTTGAAACATGTATGTACTTCATTTTCTACAAAATGTCACCATCTCGGGTTTACAAATTGTTGGTGAATTAACTGAAATAAGCTACAAAATGTCACTGTCTTATCTACAAACTGTTAGTGAAACTGGAATGATGGTACTTTTGCAAAGCTTAGAGCATATTTTTTCTAAGAATCCTCGTGCGTCACTTCTTTCCGCGAAGAGTGAAAATTGAAACTGGCTTCTTATACACCTCGTGATGGATTTCATTTCTATCTGTTTCTCAGGAAGTAAGAATCTTCAAAATAAGTGGCTTCATAATTTTTCAAGGCAGAATTCTCGTCCAACGAAGGGTCAATAAATGCAGTACTCACTCGGAAAGGGGCATTACATCGTTCTGAAACAACGTGACAATTGTATTTTCTCGGGAAAAGTCTCTTGCTAAAGTGACAAGATCCCCTGTTCACAAGGGGAGACAACACTCGAAGAGGAAGGGAAACGAGTCAATCTGTGCAGAGGAGAACTGAGTCAGTTTTGTTAATTCAGTTAACTGAACCAGTCAGGTCGCCCTAAAGCCATCTCTCCTGTAGTTTTGTCGCCCAGAATTAAAGTTATTTCACCCGAGAATTTAGATCAGGCTTACCGACTTAAATTTGGCAAGAAAGTTGAGAAATCTCTATCACTTAAGTTGCGCTTTCCGTTTCTGATAACAAACAACCTTTGTTTTATATGAAACCAAAGAATCAAAGGTTTTCATTGAACGCGACCTTAATATCGCGTGATCTACGAAGACTTGATCCACACAGGAACGATCAGAATTCATACGAGATAGAATTACATATACATGAGAACGCTTGTCAGATTATGTTTAGCCTGCAACTCAGGTGTCTTATTAGGGCACATGAAAGCTACAAGCTGGCTAAATTATGAGCCAAGTCGCATTAGAGCGAATTAAGAGCTAATGTCGGCTTGAATCAAACAAACAGCGGCAAGTCAGCCAGATTTATTTTCCCTCCTACTTTTTTTTTGTAGCCCAATATGTTCTAATGATTGTAGTGTAGTTTTTCTTGTAAAAATATATTTTAGTTTTCGAGAAATAATTTTTTTCGTGCGACCGCTCAAATATACAAATTTTCACAGTGTGACCTCATGTGTGACCTCATGTGACGAATGTACCAGACCTATGGTATTTCTGTGAACATAAGCCTTTGTTTCATCATCTAAACTTAATCCCCTGTCGTTATTGAAGCTGACAAAGAAATATTTATTTTTGGTGAAAATATTTGTCCGACATACTTTTCATAAGTCGAAAAGTAGCATCCAAAGAAAGACAGTTTTAACAATGACCGATATGACACGATCTACTGAGCTTCAAGCTTTCATAAGACAAAAGGATGGTTATAAAGTTACTATAAAAATTTCCTTGTGTATTTGTGTTGTTCTATCTTGAGACGAACTCAAAGTCCGGCAAAATTTACTTGATAGCGACTATGAAATGTACATGGTGCGCCTATTTATCGCCACCGTTAACTGGCATAAATCTCTACAATTTGCAAAAAGATCTAACATAACACTCTTATCTTGTTTATTTATGATTTTATTAGCTGTTTCGATGATCACGTTAATTATGCTCTAGCACATTCTAGCCAGATTTGAGTTCCTGTTTATATATCTTCTCTAACTCATTATGTCAGATCACGCGATATTAAGGTCGCGTTTAATGAAAACCTTTGATTCTTTGGTTTCATATGAAACAAACAAAGGTTGTTTGTTATCAGAAGCGGAAACCGCAACTACGCAATAACGACAGGTGATTAAGTTTAGATGATAAAACAAAGGATTATGTTCACAGAAATACCGTAGGTCTAGTACATTCGTTACATGATATGCAACCCGGGTAATATTCACGCTGAAAATTTGCATATTTGAGCGGTCGAATGAAAAAAGTCGTTTCTCGAAACTAAAATATATTTTCGCAAAAAAAAAAACTACACCACAATTATAAGAACATACTGGGCTACAAAATATGAAAGTAGGAGAGAAAACGAATTTTTGGGCGACTTGCCAAAATATTTCAAATTTGTACGACGGATACTGACATCCTCTCTTAAAATATTATCCAATTTTTCACGAGAAAAAAATTAGGAAAATTTTGGCATTTTCCAAATTTGTTCGGCAGTCCCATCAAACTAGTGTTCTTTGACGAAAAGGTTACTGATTGATTCATACGTTAAGCACAAACCCATCTCTCTCTAAGGTCTCGGTAGGTTCTCAGGAAATTTAATGTAGTCATCCCAAAGTTCATAGAGAGAGCCAACCACATCCTGCGCAGCTTCTATGACGGCAGACTTTCCAACATTGAAAGTTTGGCCAATCTTTAGATGAGAGTTTCCATGAGCTAAAAGATACAATCCAATGGCAAGTATTTTTGCTGGAGATATCAACCGTATCGAAGGTAGCTCTATTCATTCTAAGCCGCTGCCGGAAAAAGTTCTATGGGATAGTGCGATCGTTGTAGTGTATCTCAAACCACAATCCGTTCGGAAGTGAAGGTGACTATGCATATGGCGCTCGTCGCAGCCGACGATTTCGTTTTCGCAAGTGGGCAGCTGCAAGAAATTATCTGTTGCGCTCATTTAACCATCTTTCAGTCAGGGAGACAAAAGGCAACAACTAGGTCCGCTGACGCTTAATAACAAGCAACAACAGATGTACGGTCGTTATGCAAATCTCCCTGTTCAGCATGGCAACTGTTGTGACTAGACACAATTCCCCCCCTAAAATTTTCCCCGTGTGATTGACGTTTGCATTTTCACTTGTTAAAGGCTCAATTTCATTTTCATTTCCGGTCTGATGTAAATTGATTTTCCAGCCGATTTTATCCAAGCCAAAATAAAAATTGGCCTGTAATGCGACTCAGCCCAACACTGCGTATGATATTTCAAATTCACCAAAATATCATGAGTGACGATATTCATTGTTATACCTTGAGAGAAAATTTTACAAACCGGCTGGGCTCTTGATACCGTATGATAGTGTGGAAGCTAAAAAAAACCGCAAACCTGCGAAGCTATCAATTTGCTATTCAAACATCAGAGGACTGTTTACGTGGTTACGTAGCCTTAACTAAACTCGTGGAGGGAGGGAGGAAGGAGTGGGGGGTTGGGAATGTTGGGACTGGGAGAATTTGAGAGAGTCATGTCAACGCGAGAAGCTAGAGAGGGCTTGTAGGACCTTCTCGAATTCTCCCAGACAACATATTCAATAATTAAGTTCAACTGTTCGGCCGTGGTGGGAAAATCTGAGATCTGGGCATAGCTGTAATGGCCGTGTTACGTACACGTTGACATCATTCTAGTTAATACGTAGATTGATGAATTCAATCAAATAACTTTAATTTGATTTTTGTTTTCGCTTTTTTAAAGTTTTTCTCGTTGGAAACGATGCTGCCCTTCCTAACGTGGGCTCTTGTACTTTCATGGAGCACTACTGCAGCGCTCGTAAATGCAGCACTGCTTTTATTAAAATTTTTCAAAAAGACCCAAAAGCAAATTGTGGGTAAGTACATTTGAAGAGCGAACATTCTTAAGGACATAGGTATGCTAAATATTGTTTGCTACAAATCTGTTGGGCAACAATTAGCATTTTCCTCATATTTATTGTTGCTGTCATTCATAATTATTCACAGAACTTCATAGCCAGGTCGCATTCGCTTCTGTAGTTTCTAATTGCCTATTCCTTCCCCATCCTGATTTCTTTTAGTTGGTTATTGCCTTTTGTTAGTTTTTCTCTTATCTTCAGCTGTTTTTCTTTTCTTTTTTTCTTATAAAGGTCAGTGTACTGCCCCACATAAAATACATCAAAAGATCGCAATTTGATTCGACTGTTTGACCATAATAGTTTTTATCTTCTTGGTATTACAGTGCGGAGCTTAGCAAACTGAAGAATTGTGTTGTCGACGTGATGATGGTCTGCATGGGAGATTCACTGCAAGAAAGTCAGGTCAGAGATATCGTTGACATGACCTTCACGGAAAAACAGCAGTGTCTGGATGGTTCTATGGAAATTCCCACCATGCCGCCAACCAGCGGATCAATTTGTTCAGCATCATTTAGCAGTAATGCAGACACTTGCGTTCGATCCTTTCACCAAAAATTTGCCAAGGACAAATCAGATCCCGCTCTTTGCTCGTAAGTTTAACGAATGTGCATTTTAAATATTTAATTGAAGGGGGAAGGGAAGGGAGGTGTGCGGACCAAAAGAGCTCGATACTCGTTGTTACAGCTTTTCTATGCACATGCGGTGATAAGGTTCGTTTAACGTGAAAAAAGGCTTTAAAAGAGGTGGGGAGGGTTATGGGCAGTGACCCAGTGAAAACGATCATTTCCATTAAGGTGCCAGCGCACCAAACAGTATATCACTATTGTGTTCTTTAGAGGACTTTCGTTTTTTATTTATTTCATTTGATTTTATTTTATAGTGAACGTTGTGAATTTTTTTTTCTATTTTTTTTAAGGGAAAATGCCAAAGCAAAGAGGTGTTTAAAGAACCTGATAGATTTCGACTGCAACTTCCCCGCCCTGGCCAAGGAAGCGCTAGAATTGGCTTACAGTGACTACAATCCTTTCTGCGCAAACAATCGGGATCCTGGGGCCACCGGAAATGATCAGTGCGATGGCGTGCAGGATAAGAGTGGTGATGCATTGAAATATTTCAATGCAGCCGCTGGAATCAAGTCCGGTGTACTGCAGACGCTGATGTTTGCTTCCTTTTTTTTGCTTTTGTTTTTTAAAGTTTAGAAGGCTTTAGCCCCTGGTTTGTCTTGAGTTACAGAATAGTTTCTAGACTTAGAAAGTTTAAAATGACACATGACACTTGTAAGAGGCGTGTTTCAATAAATTGTTTGCATTAATTTTTTTTGTTTTTTTGTCTTTCGTTCTTCAAGGAATACTTCGTCATTTATAGGTCGGGGCTCTAGCCTGACAGATATCTAAGGTAATTTCGTAAAAAAGGTTGTGGTTATTCATCGTGGCGAATAACAATTAAAGCTAAGTTTTTTCGTTTTTCTCAAGATGTAGTCACGTGTGATGTAGATCGCGACGTTTCGACTGCATACTGGTAGTCTTCTTCAGGCGATGAGGTCGACTGGTCATGCGTGATCTTATAAGCATGATGCTCTGTTGTGATTAGTTGCTTTTCAGCAGCTCTGATTGGTGCATTGTGCATTTCGATCCCTGCTGTTTCACTCATGAGTAATTTGCTCCCTCAGTGGTCCGCAGCACGGCTCTCCTGTTGTTGTGTTTCTTGATCGTGGGCATCCACGCTTCTAGAATTTCTATTCCACTCGCCCTGTTGATGTTGTTAGGGTGAAGACTTATATGAATTGCCTCTTTGACTCTGCGCGTGTAGTAAGGTCACAATGAAGGAAAGCGAGTTTGACACCGCAATTTTACGAGAACTTGACTGCCAACTCACCACCAGCGTATACAGGAAGCCCATGTACACCGATCAATACTTAGCGTATGATTCACACCACCCTCGATCAGTAAAATGCCGTATGCCTTTACGAGCACGCCAAAGGTCTCGTAACATCATCGCCGAGGAGAAAAATCATCTGCCATCTGTTCTGGTTTCGAATGGTTATCCTTTTTCTTTCTTGCAGAAACTTACCAAGACCGGATGACCAAACAACAGTGCCGAAGCCGCCAACGAGTTCAAAGCTATTGCGGTTTTACCTTATGTCAAAGGTCTGTCCGAACAGCTTCGCCGTTCCCTACAACAACAAGGCGTACGCGCTGTTTTCAAGTTGGAGACTACGCTAAGATCTCAGTTAGTACGACCAAAAGACGCTGTCGACCCGGCTAAACGAGATGGCGTAGTTTACAGGATTCCCTGTAAATGCGGCAAGGTGTACATCGGAGGGACTGGAAGACCTACGCAAGGCAGAATTAAGGAGCACGATCGAGACATCCGACTCGCCCGTACCGAGATCTCAGCCGATTCAGAGCATGCTCACAAAACTGGACACGAACCACTCTGGAACGAAATAAAATTTATTGATCGTGACCCTTATTACAACACGTGCAAAGTCAAAGAGGCAATTCATATAAATAAACAGGGATAGCGGAATAGAAATTCCAGAAGAGTGGGTGCCCACGATCAAGAAACACAACAACAGGAGAGTTGTGCAAAAAAAACAATTTCTGATAAAACTGCACTGAAAAAATCGTTTATCTGTCTCGTTTTTCGGACGCCAAAAAAAACCCTTCGCCACATATTTCCTTTGCAACACAGCGATCCCCATAATCTTTGCTCTGCGCATGACACAAGGTTCCGATTACCGGCAACTCAGACATTTGACTCGACGCACATAGGGTGGGACTCTTGTTAGATAGTCGGAGCGGAGATCAATTCAACAACGAACGGGATCAAGATGATTTCCTTCAACATTTTATTTGCCTTTGGTGAGTTAAGTAACATTTGGAATCAATTCTCCGCGTATTATTGTTGTGTTGTGTTTTAGGTGCAAAGCATTTGCAGGTTAGTAATATAATTCAAACACCGAGAGGCTATAGATCGTTTTCACGTGACGTCACATAATTATTTTCCGCCATGTTGGTGCACATATGAGTCACGTGTTTCAGTAATTATTATATGCAAACAAGGTCCAAATTTATAGTTCCTTCCAGTTTACAATAGAAAAAAATTATATGTATGGCATCTACCGCAAAAATTTCTATTCCTTTGTCTGATCCAGACCGTGTCGCCCAAATTCCACTGTCTGATTACGTTAAAAAACTGGATGTAGAAGTTAGAGAGCGTTATCTAAAGAAGATTTCGACTATCGGAATCGATCCTGTTTTGATAAATGAGAAACGCTTCGAGCCTGATTACTTACCGCGGGTGGAATCGACAGAATTTGCTCTGCTATTTGGTTCTCAAGACTAGCTATTATACGCAAAAACAATTTAAGAGCTAATGTCGGCATGCATCAAACAAACAGCGGCAAGTCACTCAATTTTGTTTTCACTCCTACTTTCATATTTTGTAGCCCAATATGTTCTGATCATTGTGGTGTAGATTTTTTGTAAAAATTTGTTTTAGTTTTCGAGAAATAATTTTTTTCGTTCGATCGCTCGAATATGCAAATTTTCTCCGTCAATATTACCTGATTTGTGTGACCTCATGTGACGAATGTACTAGACTAGGACTTGGCTCACTTGCATCGGACAAGCTGTATAATTGCCTCTGGAGCTGGTGGAAGATTTTTCATGACTGTTACCCACTTTCCATCCTCATCTTGCCATCCATAACCTTCTGGTGAGGGCAACACCGGGTTTGCTACATGATCGTTGTTCCAAACAGGAAGCTGGTAGTGCGCTCTCAGCATGGCTCGATGGAGAGCAGCTTGTGTGGGCGGCAACCTCTCAGACTCAGCCTGATTTTTCTTAAAGAGGGACCATCTGAGGGCTTTGACAGTTTTGATGTCTGTCTTTGGTTGATACATCCGACAAACCAGCTGTTCCACTCCACTTCTTGTGCCGTCATCTGGCTGTTCCCCACTACCGAGGTTAGCAAGAGCTTGCAAGATAGGAGTGCTGGCGTTATAAAACTCATTCCAACAAGTGGCTTTTCCCTTTCCAGAGAAACTCCCAGTAACATCTGCTCCGGTCAACGCATGAAATGCTGGCAGCGCAGCCGTCTTAGGGGGCCCAAGGGCGTCTGCGATTGACTTCAAGTTGATAACTCTACGACTACTGCCGGTCCCAGTAACAAAGCAAGAGTTGGAGCACAAATCTGGATACCGTCGGAGAGCCAAAACAAGAACATCAGTGTCAGGAGAATGTATAGATAGTTGGGTAGCACCTTGAGCAGAGGCATCCAGAGCATGTAAAATAATCTTCGTGTCGGCTTCTTCTTGTGTACTTCGTAAATGCCTCACGTCTCTGTGCGTTGCCTCACATTCCGTTCCCCATGCCACAATGTTCAGCTAAGTCTCTACAGTTCTTGATCCACTCCGGCTTGTCAAGTGATTGGACTTCGGCCATTCCATCAACAATCGCGACTTTGAATCCTGCGGTGATTTCTTGTGTATTAGTACTAGGGCCACCTGCCTTCTCTAGGATATGCATAAGGGCACTCTTGCAAGAACAATGCAACATGGTACCATCTCGTGCAAACAAAGAGCTTGGGACAACAGGAACTTGTGCGAAATAGGATTTTAGAAATCGCTCATAATAAAGTTATATAAGCCACACGAAATACATTATCATTACACCTTTTTAGCTTTTATTTTTTCCATTCAAATGCTATACATACAGCATTAATATGCATTACAATGAGTCAACGTTATTGTCCTGGATGATGTATTCACCTTTGGCGTGTTTTGCAATCCAGCCTCATTTCCATGTATGGGGTCACGTGACACTACAAAGTGGCACCAATCGATGCATGATGTCTAAGTGACTAAGGTGAGCAAGTTTGGCATAAGGATTTTTTTTGACAAATTTATAGTAAATTATATGTTTCAGCCTCGCTTTCATGCGTAAGGTGACGTGACCTATGTAAATTAGCATAAATCAACAGGGAGGATCATGCCCAATCATGTGAGCAAGTTTGGTGTATTTTCTTCTGTTATTAACAAAGTTATGAGGAATTATTTGTTTTAGCCTCGTTTTCACGCTGGATTTCATAGGTCAGAATTTAACCCCCCCTTTAAAGCCGTCTGAGCAAGTGGCAAAGCTGGCACCAAAACGTTTCATGTTTAGTAGGACCTAATGAACACTTTTACACTAGGTGCTTGTTTTCAGCACGAATTTCACACGGGACCTTATTTTATGACATTTGCCCCCAGACTAACAGAACAGTGATTTTAATTTTCTTGTTTTAAAGCCTTCCTCTCGTCTAAAAAAGAATAGTGGTGGGGAAATTCATACTGCTCATTACACACGAATATTATTACCAGGTTCAGCAACAACTATCTTCAACTAAGTTGAACTACTGTTACTTTGCTGTTTCCTCAAATGAACTTAAGCTACTATCACAAAGATTTCTTCCAGACAGAGACCACTGGAGTAAAGTTGTACCAAATTTTGGAGGATTTGTGTTTTGCCTGAGGTACTTGCTCGATGGTACAAAAGAAGAGAGAGTCTTGTAGAGGATGGATGTGGCAAACAACCACACACATCTCAACCAACACCAGGCCAACAGTCACACATGTCACAACAAACACCAACAAAACAGTCACTAATCCCACAGTCAGTTCTGGCACAGAAGAAGTAACAATTCTGAAAACTGTCATTACAAACACGTTTCCTCGTGACAAGCATGGGCTAGAAGGAAGACTGGGACATCATGAATATGGCCTAATTGCTTCCCCAAATGGATGACTGGACTGTGTAATCATACACGAGGCGCACATGATACTGAGGAGAATCAGTAAAGGAATACAAGGATTTCAGAGGCCTACTCTTGGCTCAGTTCGACAATTTAGTATTATGACTGGACCATTTTTTCAAATAGTCCACATTAATAACAATCACTGGGTATGTCTTAGTAACATAAATGATCCTCCTGGTTATGTTGATGTCTATGATAGCCTTTCACCCCCTGTGACTCAAGAGTTGGGGGAACTAGCTTTTGATTTGACCGGACCAGCCTTTCAGGGAATTCTTTGTGTTCCAGTGCAACAACAAGCAAATGGTTCTGACTGTGGTGTGTTTTCAATAGCGTTTGCGACAAGTTTGGTTTATGGACAAAATCCTGCAAGTGTAACATTCATGATTAGTCAGATGCGTCCACATTTACTGCACTGTCTAAGAAGAGTAGTCATGACTCCTTTCCCTACCACTTGAACTTCTATCACATAAAAATGTCATGATTAGACGAAAAAAATCATGTGGCATGGTTGGGATATGATCATGGCATAGCCAAAGTTGTTTGACAAAAATACTAACTTTTTTAGGACATGGACTGAACAGTAAAATCCTTTGCAATCATACAGAGTATGTCTTATCAGACTTAAATAACAAAAAAAATCAGAATACAAGTAAATGTTAAGTACCATGTCATTCTCTTTAATAAAAATATGTTACTTCATCAGAAACCTCTGTCATCTCCTACTCATTAGTGTCTTGTAGTGACAATAATACAAATACAAATAATTTATTTATCAAGGGTGAAATACCTTATTACTGGTAGCCTAGTAGTTTACATAATGGCCCTCAACAAAAACAAAAAAATACAAAAACAAAAATCATACTGATCCTACTAATTATTACACTTCCAAACAAATTAATAAAATTCATTACAAAAACCAAAAAGTCCTGCTAATCTTAAAATGTTCTTGTAAAGAGTTTTCTTTGATAAAATTATTCTGTTGCATTTTTCTGAAATTTGAGTGGGAAATTATCTTTCTGTATGTGCTACCTAGATTATTCCATAGACAACATGCACTTGAATGGAAATTCCTGAGCCCTGAGTTTCTTTTACATGATGGTGTCAAATTGCAGATCTAGTTCAATAACCATGTGTAGACCTAACATGTTTAAAATATGAGGTGAAATATTTAGGACACTGACCCTGGCTAACTCTGTGTAGCATAAAAAGTTTTCTAACAATAATAATAATAATAATAATGATAATAATAATAATTACCTCTTTAAACAAGGTAAGGATTTAAGCATTGCAGCTTGTGGGGTCATGTACAAATAGATAAAATGAATAGATAGTTGCATAGTTCTAAATAAGGCTGAAAAATCTACTTAAATGTTTAAACGTAAAATAACATTTCTACAATGTCAGTTCCTATCTGATTAATGTTCATATTTATAATTAATAATTTTACCTAACTGATAAAAATTACTTAGCTAGAAACCTCTTAAAAGGAGCAGCTATCTTCTCTGATATAAATTAGCAAAGTCAATGTTCCTGACCAAGGTACATGTAAGATAGTCAATCGTCCTGGAAACTTTTCATACTGTTCACCTTACGACACTCAATAATAACAGTAACGACACATAACGAGAATGATCTTTAAATACACTGATACTTTAATCCAAAGGTAAAATACCACTGAAAAGGTTTGTCAAAGCTGCACAAACTATAATAATTCTGTCAATCATTGGAATTTGAGCCTCATGGGAACCATTAGGGTAACACTGTAAGAAATCAATGGGTAAAATTCCAGAAAGAATGGAGGACTTTCCCCTCAGTAAGCCAATGATCCTTTCCACATGTATTTGAACGTTTGCGATTATACGGGTCCGCTCAACATCTACAGGGTCTAGCTGGTCTTTTCCTTTAATGAATACCGGTATAGCAAGCTCAGCTCTGTGGTACATAAGGCTTTCCCGAATAGTAAAGCCACGGTCTTCCATCACCAAATCTCCAGGCACTAGCTTTTCTAGAATGCCATACCTCTCAGTTAAATACTTATCTGAGGTCCTTCCTCCCCAAGCGTCAGAGACGAATAAAATACTCCCTTGTGGAGTTATTCCAACCAAATTGATGATTGTAGGTGGAGAAAGTTTGTGCCCGGGCCATGAGATTTGAAGGTCTAGAGATAAACATCTCAAAACAGTCGATAATTACTGTAGTTTTGTTGCCAAAAACAGCCTGGAAACATTGAGGCATGGTTCTCCACAAATCCTCACGTTCTGGCCACCTTATTAAAGGTGCTAAACGTACAGAAAGAACAACCATCCAAGCCGAAAATATTCTCGAAACAGTTGATAGTGAAATTCCAAAGCGGTAGGCAAGATTCTGCATTGGCATGTTTAACTTAAGTTTCATCAGCGTGAGAATGAATTTTTGAAACTTCGACAAAGCTGGAGACTTCCTAATGACAAATGTCGAAACATTCGTGCACACCGTTTGTAGCACGTCATAGGCAGGCAATCCAATGTAAAACTGAACCTTGTCACTGTCATGGGCAAAATTAGCTTCATCGAATGGCTGTTTCACAGCTGAGGTGTGAAATAAGTAGTCAAACTCCTCTGTTTGAGTCGCTGTTCCCGTTTCACTCTCAGTTTCCACTTCCACTGCTGATTCGACATCGAAGGAATTCTTGCTGACCTTTTCTCCTGGTTCATCAGCTGAAAGCGATCTATTGCAAAGAAATAGGCAATAGTTTGCTGTCCAATTTATCGATGTGATATTTGTTTCATCCGTATGTAAGTGTTGGCTGGCTTCTCTCCAGTCTTACCGATGATTTCGATGTTTTCCATGGCTTTGTTTATATTTTTTTTCATCAACGGTCAAGTTTTCTTGAGTAGATTATGTATAATGTTCGTCGCCACTTAGCATCGAGGTTGCATGTCTACCAAACTCGCTCAGTTGTATATTTCGTTCACAAAGTTGGCTAAGTAACTTTCGTTGATCTACTGGCATTTTGAAATTTCACTTTCTTGTCAAAGTACTTTTTCAGACCTTTCTTAAAGCAATCGAGAAATCGCAAATCTGAATAATATTTTCCTCTTTCTTTTCGGTCAGTGATTTCTAGGAAACGAGTCTTAAGGTCGCATGTCAAGACCATCATCTCTTGAAACACTAGAGAGATCGCAAATTGAAGCAAAAATTTCCCCTTTAGTAATTTCTAAGAAACAAGTCTTAAAATTGCATATCCGCACAACCTAGTCGCACGTTTTTACTTTAATTTAGCCGTTTATTTTAATTTTAAAAGCCACTTATACATAAAAAAACGAGTGTTTTGATGCCAATGTCTTGGATTTACTATTGTAGGTGAAATTAACTGAATTCAGAGGTAATTTTGTGAGTCATAGAGTATTTTTTCCCAAGAATCATAAAGCGTCATGTCTTTCCACGAAGCACGCGCGATAGCCCTTCGTATGATGACTGCTAAAACAATTCCTAGAAACATATAACGCAGTTTTCCTTTAACAGCTCCCCTAAAAATAAGCAGAATGTGTATAATGTTCGTCATCCTAGAGCGTGGAGGTTGCATGTTTACCTAAGTCAGTCGTT